GTAAGGTAGTCGGCACGGAGATAATCGTCCCCTCATGATTGATTGTAGCAAGAATGCAGTATTTGTGTTCAAGTTTCAAAGGACACCAAGCCTCCAACCAGACTATCCGTTGGGAAGTATGCAAGGTACGGCCTGATGGCAAAGAACGATGCAATCTATTGATTCCAGTGCCCCTGGATTTGTGCATATGTGCCTGCAGAAAGCAGAGTGCAGCTCATAAAATATTGCTATCCAGACAAAGAGTGGTAAAAGTGCAAGAATTCGTCCCGCGAGTGTGGTAAACCTTTGGATATGGCATTTCTAAGCTTTAATTGAGCCGTTATTCCGATATCCTTATCAATACAAGTGCGACAGGACAACGTTGAATGTCCGAAACTCAAAAGGCTTGAAAAAAGTCGGTTGATAGGTTGAATGTTTTTGACGTTTCCGACGGGTACGCTAAAATATCATACTTCATCCACTTCATAGCTTCCTTTAGGAAAGCAACTCCGAGGTTTAATAACTTCCCGTCCCAAGAACAGAATTTATTCGTTCCGACCTCATTTTCTCAATTTTAACGTCTTCACAAATGAAAATTGCAATCTTACAATTCTGAATATTGTTGGTTCGGATCATGATATCTCTTATCTTTTAATCCCGCATTGCACCAGGTCCGAAAGCAGTCTTGGTCCATCTCTTCGGTAGCCATAATTCAAAACTCGAAGTCGAGTCTGCAGGGGAAAATGTCACCAGTGGAACGATTCTGCTTTCCGTTTCTCACGACCGCCGTAATGCTTGATAGCTACTCAATATCCGGTTAAAAGAGAAAAATATTGCCAACTCGTTTCTTGCCGGACATGAGAACGGGGAAGTAGTCCCCAAAGTTTGGAACTTTCATCTTCTTTCACACACACCGGCCAAGGGACTTGATTGTCTTGTTTGCATGTGCAGAATCGCATTTCCATAAGACTTCCCTCATCATGCTTTTAATCAACAGTTTTCGGTATTAGCACCTACACGAACAATGGAAGTTCTTCGACGTTATGCCACAGAAGCGCCCGAACAACGTGCTTGGATAGATACTAAGCCTACATTCATTGTCAGCTGGTGGTGTACATGTTTTGCCATTGTTATAATTTTGTTTCGAATTTTTGGAAGATATGTTCGGACGGAAAAGATCTATCTCGAAGACGGCATTATGGTGCTGGCCATCATACCGCTGCTCATGAGAATGGCTTTTGTTCATGTCATCTTGATGTTTGGCACCAACAATAGTCTAACATTCGGTTTAACATCAGAAGATGTGCGGAAAAGAACAATTGGCAGTCAACTCGTTTTAGTCTCTAGGATTATGTACGCTGTGTAGTATGTCAACGCCCGATCACCATCCAAAGAAATGTACTGACGATTGTAGCCTTTGGGCCATAAAGTACAGCATCAGCATATTCTTACGTTCTTTGACTGGTCAGATTTGGCAACGAGTACACCATAAATTACTCAGATATCTTCATATTATGCTCGGGGTGACGTTCTTAGCCACAGTCATTAGCGATATTTTTGAGTGCCAGCCTTTCACCCATTACTGGCAGGTTATTCCAGATCCTGGACCGAAATGCCGGCAAGGATATGCACAACTCTTCACGGCCGGTATTCTCAACATCACTACGAACGTGGCTCTCATTGTCTTTCCTATTCCGATGATTCTAAAATCAAATTTATCGACACACCTTAAACTCAGCGTCATTCTACGTTTAGCCCTCCCCGTTTTTTGTATTTTCGCAACGATCAACCAACTCAAAAAAGTTGTATCTCATAACGGCGATCAACAGATTCGCTCACTCTTAGCTTCTTGTGAGATCCTTTCTTTTACCACCCCATAACATGCAATCTCTAGCTAACAAAGAACAAAGTCGACATTCTCCTCACAACTCTGATATCCAATGCTTCGGTGATCGGCTCGCTACTCCAAGACAAAGGTTACAAGAAGACGAAATACAAAACTCCTATCTACCGCGACATTCCCTCCAGCGTCCCCTCTACTAGCTATACTCGAAGACATGACAGCGATGAGGACCTCATGATCACCAGTCCTGATACAGACGGAAAGGCAGCTATGATGATAGCACTGGAGGTTCTACATGAAACTGCAAGTCGGGAGAATAATGAGGCAAGAGATTTTGGGACAGGTGCATTGGGAAGCGGGGTCAGGAAACCCGAACATATCTGGGCTGGTGATCAGATTAGAGTTGAGAGGGCATGGGACGTGCAGGTATCAAGAGAGGAGCTACCCAGGAGCGCCTAGATGAATAAGAGAGGCTGTATGGATTATTTGCGGTCTGAATTATCCTCAGGTTTAGCGTATTGGGTTTATTGATACGCAATGCTGTACAAAATATTATGTCTCGTACGATCGAACTTCATGTATATAGGTATTGTTGGATACTGTACAATTTGATACGTAGTCTCTCTAATATTTTTGCTCATTTATGTGATAAATGAAATTGGACAGGTTTTGAGAATGACATCGATTATGCCTGATGGCTGCAAAATATATTCCCTCAAGTTCCCGGTGAGCTTAGAACTTGTTATTGTGAATGTGCTTGAAAACCCGTACCGACCTTCTTGCACAGGCTGACTTCAAATGAATTGGTGTATACTAAGTAGATATATATATTAATTTGCTCTGCAAAGAATTCTTACAGATTTCAATTTGAAGAAGGAAGTGCCAACATACTATGTTCGATCAATGAACCACAAATATTGGAAATATTTCTGTCTCGAGATCGACAACGTAGACATCAACACCAGGGTTCCTGGAGCTGTTGAAGTGTCTTCCCCACTTTCCCCCAGCGCATGTAATTTAAAGTTGACAACCCTAGCTTAACAATTGCCTTGATATTTCAGCTGGTCTAGGTACAGTACCGGCTTTTTTCCGAGGCTGTACAAACAATTCATGATTTTGGATGTCCAAGATACCTCTTTATTCTTCAGCCATTTCCTCGAAGCTCATCATCTTTTCAATTGTACAACAATAGATACTCAAGATGTCGTCTTCCTACGCTATGAAGTCAATGGGCTCTAAAGGTTAGATACATATCCCTCCAGACTGATTGCTTCTCGAAGTTCTTGATTTTCTGCGTTTGGTTTGTTGTACCATACTCACTCACTCAACAGCCTTTAACCATTCCTCTTCGAATGATGCTGAAGCTGAATATGACCGACTGCGCGACCTCGCTCATAAAGAAGCTGCCAAACGCTCTCAATGTTTCGATCAATCGCGTCAAGCTTACACATCCGGCGACGGTGCCAGAGCACACGATTTAAGTGTCGAAGGGAAGAAACACGCGGCGCAAATGGACGCATACAATAAACAAGCATCAGACTACATATTTCGAGAGAACAATGCCCAAGGCAGAGTCGGAGACGATGAAATCGATTTGCACGGACAGTATGTTGAGGAAGCAGAGCGCATTTTGGAGGACAGAATAAGATATGCCCGACAACAGGGACAAACTCATTTACATGTTATTGTCGGAAAGGGAAACCATAGCAAAGATCATGTCCAAAAGATCAAGCCGAAAGTGGAAGAGATTTGTAGGGAGTTAGGTTTGCAATATGCGACTGAAGAGAACGCGGGAAGGATGTATATCAACTTGCAAGGCGGTGCTGCAGTTATACCACCCAGCGGAGGAAGTCACGGAGGACAGCAGCATCATGGTGGCCAGCAAAATTCTGGACACCAACAACCCTCTTACCAGCAACCTCAGCAAGGATATCAACAACCTCAACAGAGTGGATATCAACAAGGAGGATACCAGCAAGGCGGTCAACAACAGCAACAACAACAGCAACAACAACAACAACAGAACAACAACGACAACAACGACGAATTGGAGAAATTGGCAAGGAAATTTCTCCCAAGAATATTACGAAAGGCAGAAAAAGCTTGTTGCGCGGTTATGTAAATATTTGGGTTGCACAGGTTGGATATATTTTTACATGCGTGGATTTAGTTTTCTTCAAAATATACCTTGGGTTCCACAGGGGTTTAATTGGGTGGTATGATATGGCTAGATGTTAATAGAGATGGTGTTTTAATGTTGAATATTATATGTAGATAGAAGATCACGATTTCATGATAGGTTGAATGAATGAATGTTTCTAATATTGGTCTTGATGTAGTTGTCTCAACTCATTTGCCCTGTAGAAACAAGTCGAGTTGTGCTAGATAGGTCTGTTATAGAACTCATTCATGGATATTTGCCAGTATATAATTGATGAAGAACAAGGCTTTCTTTCACCTCGAGAAATCTGCTTGTATGCAGAACTTCTATAGATGAATACCACGCTCCGCTAGACCACTGCCGTGGAGGCTTCTTCGCTTCGCTTTAAAATCTAAAATATTTCATCACACGGAAATTCCTTCTTCTCCTATTCTAGAGCGAAGCGAAGAAGCCTCCACGGCAGTGGCCAAGCGGAGCGTCATATTCAGATGTATTGATACATGAACCGAGAAGTGCACTTAATATGCTATAAAGGAGGATTTCATGACTACCTACCTACCTGTACCCACCTATGTACAAGTATCGTTATGTAGGCAATTGGATCATTCAAGATTTAATTGTTATTTTACACCTACCTGAATATCTACTTACCTATAGAAGTTACGCCTATATATCATCGTATAATTTACCTTGGTACTGTCATCTGATCTTTTATACTAAAAGTTTATCGGTTAGCGGAGAGGGAAAAAAACCACAAAAAGCCTTGACTCTTACCTAAGTATCACCGATAAGTAAATCTCTTCCTGCAACAACTGTGGACAATTGTCTTTCCTTTTAATTTAGCTTTAACAACCCCCCACCATCCGTAATCGGCCTCAATTGTTTAGAAGAGCGACACCGGACAGCCATTGACCCATTTGATTGCACAACGCAGAGGTGCCGATAGTTATCCTTTACAGCTTCCCTTCGTCCTAAATAAGAATCGCGGCTCAACTATCCGATACAGGATTATCGCGCATGGAGCCTTCACATGGGATTGTGGGCGGGGCACCCGCTTCCAGCCCAACCATAGGCGCGCGGCCAGGTACAGGAGAAGGCTTCAACAAACGCAAGAGAAGTGGTGCGGGTTTTGAGAGTAGTCCTGGAACTGGAAATGAACAAACAGGAAACGAACAAGATGATGAAGATGCCGAGAGGAAGCGACAACCAGCTGTGAAGAGAGCTTGCAATGAATGCCGTCAACAGAAAGTGAGTCATTACTTTCGAATCGGCTGAACACACTTGCAATGCAATGCAATCATGCGAAAGCGGTCTTATTCGAATCGTAGCCAAAGAGTTCTTCAATTGCTAATACTCAGTAACTACAGCTTCGATGTGATGTCGTTCAAAATCCTTACAGCACTTGCGGTCGATGTCAGCGATTAAAGCTCGAGTGTAAGATTGAGCATAACTTCAAAAGAGTGGGAAAACGAACCAAACATGCGGAGATGGAGAAGCAAATGGAAAGATATGAGCAATTAATAGCTCGTCAAGAACAATTAATAGCTCGCGCTCGACATCAAGGATTCGTTTACGATGATGAAGAACTTGGATCCCCAGTCACGAATAGCAGCGTTTATCAACATTCGAGAAATCAGTCATACATAGGAGGAGGATCAGATGAAGCCGTGTCATCTCTACTACATCTCAAGCAAGGAGGTTCTTACAAAGTACCACAATATGCGCGACAAATCGAGAACGTGGGACTAACGCAGGATGCCATTGACCATCTGTTCGCCGATTTCTTCCAATTTTACCACCCATATCTCCCATTTCTTAGCACTCAACAAACCCCCGATCAATATTACCAACAAGAACCCCTTCTTTTCTGGGTCATCATTACCACCGCGGCACGTCGATATACTGTGGACCCAGATTTATTGTCTAATCTTCGTCAACCTGTTACTAAAATGATGTGGTCGAAAATCGCTGACGTGCCTAACAATTATCATTTTGTGAAAGCAATAATTTTGTTATGTACTTGGCCAATGCCTGTAGCTTCAACGGCAGCAGACATCACGCATATTTTGTGCGGTGTAATGATGAAAGCTGCAACTGGCATTGGGCTTCATAGGCCAAATAATACTCAAGATTTCTCCCGGGTATCTGTTGATCTGAACAGGGAGCAGTTACATGATAGAGTTGTGACGTGGGCGGTCTGCAATATTGTAGCGCAAAGTATAGCGACTGGATATGGACAGCCAGCCTCAACATTATACGATTGGACACTTGCTCCTGTACAGCCAGGCGAAGAGGGGCCTTTTACACTCTCGCCAGAGCTTCAAGCTCGTCTTGATATCGAGAGGTTCTGCGATAAAGTCTCGAAGGAAATGTATAGCAATGCTAAAGATCCGAAGGGTGTTGCTGGTGATGATGCCAGGCGTCAATTGACTAGAATATTCCGCTACGAGTATGAAAAGATGGAGAAAACAACTCTATCTCAGCAGAATTCATCGCCAATGATTAAACTTTACTATCGTGCGGCTGGGCTGCACCTTCGCCTTTCGGGTTTCTTTGATTCAAGTACCACATCTGGGTACTTGGATGACTTGATGGGATTATGGCGGGCTACATATGAGTTCTTGGATGTTGTTTTCGAGCTTGAAAATCCATCATCTGGGAGCATTACTGGTGGTATCCTTCGATTCGCCACAGGCTACATCTCCCAACTAATCATTGCTGCTTCCTTTTCACTACTAAAGTTACTCAGTTCTTTCTTTGCCAAGTTCATGGATTTCGACCGCGGTCGCCAATTGTTCCATCGTGCAATCGACGCCATCAGATCCATGAGCATCGTACCAGGGGACTTGCCTCAGAGGCTTGCGGAACTTATGGCCCAGATGTACAATGGAGCTCGAGTTGAACAGCGCCAGATTGCACAACTAAATAATGGCAACGAACTAGGTTCGGGCTTTGGTGACATAGATGATAGCTTGCAATTGAAACTCAGATGCAGGATGAGCATGAGCTTGGTATATGATTCAATATGGAGATGGCGAGAGGAGTTTCAAAGCCAAGGCAGAAGTATTGAAGGTCAGTAATCTTTAACAAGTGTTCTGCATGATTTTAGTTCGTAAAAGATCTCCAACTAAGGACTCAGTACAGCAGCGATCCAAAATCCGACCAATCTCGATAGTTCCAACGAATCGTCTGCCTCTTCTACTCACTTGGACAGTACTCTTATTCCTCCAAATCATCAAATGCAGAATCAACTCCTCGCTGCAGTTAGCGCGGGCAACCCGAGCGATACCATTCTCGGTGTCGATCAGACGCTCGGTGGACTTTTTGGTTATGGCGAACCGAACTTCGAGGGAGGATTCGATTCGCATTCCTGGTTTTTCAATGGAGGAATGGATTTGGGAATGGATTTCCCCTACAATCGACAGGCACTTCAAGGTCTTGAAGCCAGCGGTTTTCTAGCTTGAAAGCCAGAGAGCTTTCAATTGCCAAGCTAACTTGCGCACTAGACCCATTCTTACCTATCCAAGGCTTTTTTCCATGATCTTTTGACCCTGGGGAATTCGGCCTCGAGAAACAATTGATGGGAATGATTATTTCCAGGGCTGCGTACTTTAACACCTTTGTTACTAACCGCCCAGTCTTGTTTCTTGATTCCGAGTTTAACATACTTTGACTCTGAGCCGCCTGCTTCTTTTCTTATTCTGTCTTCCATTTTCAATTTTACGAAATTCACGACTCTTTTAATGGCGCATTCGACGGTGGATAAAATACCCCTTTTGAAATTTCTTTCCTTTTTAACCGACTTGGCACATTTCGCTATATGCGATTCTGAAGTTATTCCTAATTATGCCTTGATTTTTTATACTTCGATTATAACTTAGTCTTCCTATGCTCGTGTGTCATATCACTAGTATGACAAGAACAATAGGTTGAAGTAATTTTCTTTGATGATTATATGTCCCCTTTGAGCGGAGTCGTTGGACGGAGCGGTGCTTGGAGAAAATTTTCTTTCGACAGTCGAATAGGCGATGTATAACTTGCCATTGTCTTTCTTCCGGGTGGGTGAGGGGATGGATGACAATGGGGTTACTGGGAACTGGGGTTTAGCTTGGGTGTGCAAGCTATTAGGCTGTGGTATACCCCAAGCGGGTTGATAACGGTCGCATGATAATTGATAATTTGCTTCGGTAAAATGAGTTGAAATTGACGGTTTCAGGGTCTAATTGCGGAGATTTTAAACATCCACTGCCATTAGTTGGCTGATTGATAGCTGATAGTTAGTTGATTGTTATTGTCGCATCGTAGGTCGTAGATAGCAATTAATTCACAGTCATCAGAGTAATTATGAGCGGTGACAATATGATCTTAGCGATGGGCGTACTATTGTGGCCATGGACCGCCTAGCCTTCTATGGTTTAGGAGATGTAGACGGGCCATTCATGTCGCACCCATATAATGGATAACTAGCAATGGATGAAATGGATGATTCGAAAATACTACACTCGATCAGATGTTATTGCCACATGTGCACATCCCATGTCCAAAGGTGCTGGTCTGAAATTCTCCGCTCACGTTAGATGGCCTGGAAAACATATGGTGAGAGGAAGAAAGGGAAACCTTAATTCACTTCTCGCTGTAAAGTATCAGGCGGGATAATACCTTTTAGTCTAGTGTTTAATCCACTGGCTGGGACGTCCTCGAATCCCGAATTCTGCTTAAATTTTGTGTGTAGGATGATCTCAATGAGCCGTCTTGTTTCGCGTGGCTTGATCGTTTTCAGATGGGGTGGTTCTTGTATTGTAATTTGTGTGAGAGAATAAATACGGTATGAAAGATACTCAATACTCTAGTGAGAGATTATCAATGCTGAAGAGCTGTTTGGTGTCAAAGAGAAGTCTTTTGCACAAAAGCGTATTGTGGTTGAGGGTACAGTGTATTTGTATATTTGTTCCTTTCTTCTCTTCAAACCCTTCTTCTGGGGGTTTAAATGTGTGGTATCGTTGGTGTTGGAGGCTAGGTCGAAGGTATATACGAAATCAACGGATTTTGAGAATTTGTGAAAGTTGTTGAGAATTTTGGGGGAGATACTGGGTTAAAGTGTTGTGAGGGGAAGTTACTGCTTAATTACTGATGCTTATTTGCGATGAGTTAGTTACAAAGCCTGTGGGAGGTTAGTATCGGTGTTAAGATGATGGTTCGCTAATGGAGGGGGTATCTATTTGATAGGCGCGGACGGAGTTGTGAAGCTCTTTAATCAGATACTTAGGTGGTTATAAGAGGATTCTGAAGATTGATCGGTAGGTGGTCTTGTTTGTGCGTGTTGTTGACGTCGTTTCTGGGTTGTGAAAATTTGTAGGAAAGGGCAGAAATACGATATTGAATGATATCCTGTGTATGAATGGAAGTAGATGTGATTGGAAAACACGACTCGGCACAAGTAAGGAATGTTTTGGGGGGTTGTCTAATACTCAAGCGTTTGGCTTTTTGGGAGCGCGTGGCTGTCTTCAACGGCCTTGCTTGACTTGTTGCACTGGAAATCTTCTCGGTATGCTTGAGATTCTGTGCTTTTGGATAGTAGTTGGACGAAAACGCTTTTTATGTGTCGTTCCTACAGTGTACGATTCCGCGGTTCCGCTTCCTCGACACGTAGTTCTAGCAGCAGAAGATGCCGACTATCAAAGATCAAGGAATGGGTGGCTGAGTAACTACTTTGCTTTGGGGTTTCGTTGGGTTTCTTTACTTGTGTGTATCGACTAAAGTTCGTCTTGGGCCGTAGCACCACTGGTATTTTGAAGGAGGGGGGCTTATTCTTTGCTTCCTAACAAGCTCTATAAGCTCGGGATTCTTGAGTTTAGTCACATTGGAAACTTGAACTCATCAATTGCGTCATTGCTTTCATGTTCCACATTTTTCTGCTAGATTCATTGATCATGACTGGAATTCACTTCCCGTGAACAGCTGGTTTCTTAATCTTACCTCTGGTTTATATATCTCATGGTATAACTTGGAGGCCATTGTTTTAGGTAATTTCTCAAGAGAAGTGAGTTTTTAGAGTGCGGGATTCCAAGCACACTCCCTCTGTCCATTCTTGAATTTGCTAAAACGAAGCGTAAATGTAGTCAACTCTGAGCAGATATTTATTGAGATATAGTAATTTATGATACTTTTAGACGCACACAACGACGTTCAAGCTTCGTTCGGCCAACAAAATGTTTACCTTGGAATGGAAAGTCGATGGCTCCATATCTGGGGATTTGGGTTGGCTAGTAAGTGAATTAAATCGATCAGTGAGCGGGCTTGAGAAATCAGTTTGAACTGTTGGCTTATGAACATCTGCTTAAATGAAATGACATAGCATATGAAGTGACTCCAGAGCCACTTTCTTTGTATCATTCATGCCAAAGACTTCATGTGCATAAATTATGGCTTGCGTTGTGCGAGATGCAATGGTTTACGGTCACATTGTCTCATTATTGGCTTCTCCATTGCAATGAGTGCCTGTAATTACTCGAGTACATCTAGCAATGACAAAATGTATAGTATTACAAATGATGAGATACACTAGGATGTCTGAGAGATTTCTGATTCCTCGAGGCATGCAAGACAGGACATTTCATATGCAGAATGTGATATTGAGGTGGCAGTATCATTTTGCTTAATCAATTGTAGCTCATGAATCTGCTACCTTAGGTCCCCAATCTCAGACGAGTTGATTAACTGAACTACAGCCAATTTCAACAAGTTCGTCTGCAATGAAAGATTATGGATTACCCTTTCCTTTTCCTCGAAATCCACTTGGATTTTCGGAGTAGAGATCTACACAAACTGTTTTCATCAACAAAAAACAAAACAAGAAGAAGATAGAGTGGTCATGAGAACCAAGACTATACACTCCATTGTCAAAAGAAATTCCCCAGAATGCAAACCACCTTCACCATGCAGCAACCCCACAAACAATTCCAAACCCACGTGTTCCAGCTTCCCGATATTCCATCACCGAGTACAACTATTCACGATCTCATAAACCCACAGCCCCACCAATACAACCCTACTCTTAATAGCATCTCCATACCAGCCCGACAATTCCAAATATAATCTCGCTCCCGTATCTCGCTCTCCCCTTCGCAATCGTACATCGTACACAGCCCACCACTCACATGCGCGCACTTCTTAACCCCGATTTTTGTCATCATACATCTGACCAGGTACATCGACATCCCAGCGAATCTAAATTCTTACCATTTTCTCGGAACGACGCCACATGTCTCGTTCGAGGCCATTGCATACAGTCTCTCACCCAATCTCAGAATGTTAATTTCCTAGTTCTTACTCTGAAGACTCGGCACCGCCGATATGCTTAGATATCTGCACTGATATTCAGGGTGCTTTGTTCTCTTTCGTTTTTGTTTTGGCTGCATATGTGGGTGAGAATTTAGCTTGCTTTTGGCCCCCAAATTATTGCTAGGGTATGTTTTGTAGGTAAGGTGATGTTGTCAGCTTACTTGCTTTTTTGGAATTGAATGTTTCCTATCATAACGGGTGAATTGTGTGCAATTTTATTGAAGGAAAAACATGTGAGAGTGAGATGGAGATGGCTAGTTTGCCGTGTGCATGGACTGCGCCCTAGCCCTATGTAAAGATTGCTAGCTTAAAGAGTTGTGGGCTTGTGGGCTTGTGGGCTTGCAGCGGATGACGGATGACGGATGACGGATTAGTGGAGAGATATGTATCATGATGTATGAGGTAGGTGATACGGGTAAGGCGATGTGAAGTGAGGGGAAGGGGACGGGATGCATCTAAGGAGAATGGCGATTTGTTGATTTACGGTCTTATCGATGATGGTGGGCTCAGAATGAAGTATCTTAGCCACGTGTTCTCAGTGTTAGGTCAGCGAGATAATGTACTCATGCATTTATGGTAATTTCGGAGACCGGGGAGAAAAGTTCAGTAATGTAGTGTTGGGGAAGTGATTGGAAGTGATTGCGGTGTGACGGGTTGATGGAATGGGATGCAAATATTCTAAGCAATATTCCGGATAGATATCGGTGTACTGTGCTTTGGTGAAACCATCAATGGGCAAACTTATGACAGACCAGATGTCTTCCTTGGCGGTAACGATACGAAGGGCAATTATGTGAGTATTCATTGATGAAATTGGATTGTGAAGAGGAGGCACGTTATCTGTCAAAACCTGTACTTGAGGGGAAAGCTCAAGGTAAAGTTTAATGCAGTAAATCTACCATTCAATGTCATATTGACAATCCATTTGATCTCCGCCTCCTATTAAAACAGGAGGAGAAACAGTGACATAGACTATCGCCCCATCTCTCCCAATTAGATGTATGAGTGGAATGTCAAATATGAAGGTTTCCGTCTCATAATGGCTCTCATTTCGAGCTGATGGGATCGATGATCTACCTACCTACCTCTAGGCGAGTAGTTCTCACTCAGATGCCTTCTCCAT